CCCTATGCACCATAGCTCTGAACCCTGTACTGTCCTGAGCCAATTTCACTGTCACTGACACACCTTCCCCCATTACCCTGGTTACACTGTCAGTCCATCTCATCCAGGGTTTTCCTCTTTGTGCTGTCCCTCCACCTTTCCAAGCATGATATCTTCCTTCAAGGACTGGTCTCTTCTGGGAAACATGTCAAAAGTATGTGAGAAAGAGCTTAAAAATCCTTGCATTCAAGGAACAACTTGATTTTACCCTCTTCAAGACAAACATGTTTGCTCTCTTGGCAGTCCATGCTATCAATGTTCAGTCCTCTTCTCCAGCACCACAACTGAAAGGCATGGGTTCTTCTGTCATCCATAGTCATATTGCTCTGATGCATAGCAAGTACTTGCTAAGACCATCACCTGGATCAGGTGCACCTTAGTCTCTAGACTGATAAAATTGTTCTTTAGCACGCTACAGAGGTCTCTAACAACGTATTTTCACATTGCAATTAGTCTTTTGATTTCCTGACTGCTGATGCCAAGAGTGAAACCGAGAAAGCTAAAATTGTTGACAATCTCAGTTTCTTCACCGTCTTATCATGATGCTGCCAATTGGCCCAGTGGTGAGAATATTTGTTTTCCTGATGTTGAACTTCAATCCATATTGAAGACTGCATTCCTTGACCTTCTCCAGCAAATGCTTCAGGCCCTCAGTTTTGGCAAGCAAGGTTGTCATCTGCATAATGCAGGCTCTTGACGAAGCCTTCTTTTAAAGCCCAGGATCCCAAATGATCTGTTCTGCATAGATGTCTTTCTCTAAGCCTGATGCTCTGTTCTTCTTCATGTAGTCCAGCTTCTTGAATTATTTTCCCAGTATACGGACTGAATAGGTATGGAGAAAAGGTACAATCCTGATGCACACCTTTTCTAATTGTAAACTATGCAGTGCTCCCTTGTTCTGTTTAGACCATTGCTTATTGGTCTGTGTAGAATTTCACACAAGGACAATTAAGTATTCTGAATTCCCATTCTTCTCCGTGTTATCCGTAATTTGTTTTTATTAATTTGTCAAATGCCTTTGCATAGTCATTGGAACACAAAATCTTTCTGGCTTGTTGTTGTTAATAGGTGCCGTCAAGAGGAATATGACTCATAGCAAACCTATGAACAACAGATCTGAACTGTGTCCTATCCCATGCTACCTCATAGTCTCTGATACATTCAAGTCTGGTTGAAGGTCTTCCTCTTTTTTACCATCCCTCCACCGTCCCAAGTATGATATCCCTCCCCAAGGAGTAACCTCTCCTAGCAACATTTCCAAAGTATATGAAACAAAGTTTCATCGTCTTTGCCTGGCTTGACCTTTTATGCATCAGAGAGTTGGACAATGACTAAGGAAGATAGAAGGAGAATTGATGCCTTTGAGCTGTGGTGCTGGAGAAGAGTATTGAGGGTACCATGGACTGCTAGGAAAACAAACAGATTCATCCTGGAAAGGGTCAAACCGGGCAGCTCCTTGGAGGCAAGGATTCTGAGGCTCCGTCTAACATACTTTGGACATATTGTAAGGAGGGGCCGGTCCTTGGAGAGGGACATCATGCTTGGTAGGGTGGAGGGACAGTGCAGGAGGGGAAGGCCCTCTATGAGGTGGATGGATTCAGTGAATGGGGAAATCAGGATGGTTGTATTGGAGAGGGTGCCATTGGCACAGGACAGAGCAGAGTTTAGGGCTGTTGTACATAGGGTCACTATGAGTCACAAGCAACTCGACGGCACATAACAATAACAACAACAACAACAACAACAGTATAACTGTTTGTGCTTTTGACAATTCATGGGATATGCAACACTTTTCCCCAACACCACAATTCAAAGATATCAGAGCTTTTATAATCCTTAGTCATTGTCCACCTCTCAGATGCATAGGAAGTGTTGAAAAGACCATGGTCTGAATCAGGTATACACCTTAGTCCTCAAACTGACCTCATTGTTCCTCAATAATTGGGAAACCACAGTCCCTCACTACAGACTTTTTTCCTAATCTCCTAACTGCTGGTAACAAGTTTGCTGATTGTGGATCTCTAAGTAAGATGAAGTCATTGTCAGTCTCAATCTTTTCTCCATCTGTCAGAATGTTCCCTATTGGACCGGTAGTGAGGATTTTTGTTTTCTTGATGTTAAGATGTGATCCATATTGAGGGCTGTAGTCTTTGATCTTCTGCTTCATTTTCAGCAAGCAAGTCTGCCATCTGTATAACAAAAATTACTGATGAGTCTTTCTCCTATCCTGCTGCTACATTCTTCTTCATAGAGGCCAGCTTCTTGAGTAATCTGCTCAGCATACATATCAAATAGGTCTATACAACACCGATGTATGCCTATTTTAATTTTAAATCATGCAATGTTCTATTGCTCTGTAGGTTTCGCACGAGCACAATTAAGTGTTACAGAATTTTCATTTTCCTCAGTGTTAGCTATAATTAGTTATGATCCACACAGTCAAATCCTTCGCGTAGTCAATTAAGTACAAATAGACATTCTTTTATTATTCTTTACTTTTAATCAGGATCCACCTGACATCAGCAGTGATATCCCTGGTGTCATGGCCTCTTCTAAATCCAGCTTGCATGTCTACAAGTTCTCTATGTACTGTTCCAGCCATTTTTAAATGACCCTCGGCAGTATTTTGCTTGCATATGATATTAATGATATTGTCCTGTAATTCCATATTCTGTTGGATCCCATTTCTTGGGAATGCAAACTGTAAGATGTATTTGACATCGACACTAACATCCTAGTTCCATAGCCTTTTCTAAATGAAACGTGAATAATCTTCAGCCAGATTTTACTTGCATGTAATATTAGCATTATTGTTCTATCCTTTGCTGCATCGCTTTTTTGGGGAGGGGGGAATAGGAGCCATTTTGGATATCTTCAAGTCGATTGGCCAGATATATTTCAGATTTCTTCACGTTGGGTAGTGAACATGTCCATGGCTCCATTTGTTTTTTGAAACACTCAATTGGTGTTTGATCAATTCCTGGGCCTTATTTCTTGTCAGTGTCTTCTGTACAACTTGAACTTATTTATTACAGAGTATTTATCTTAAGAAGTTCCCTTTTGTTTTTTTATAACTTCTAGTTTGGGTAGGTTCTTGTCTCATATATTCCACATGCCAGTTATCAACAAATTGTTTGCATATGTTTCTCCTCATTTTGAGTCTTATCCTATCAGGAAATAAAGGTCTTTTGTCAGCTGAAAGCTTTATGGTATCATATCATTAAAGAAGATGCTACTTTGAAAAAGCAGCTCTTCCCCATTCATATATCTGAGTGCTTTCCAACCTTAGCGCCTCATCTTTTGGCAATGTCTCAGTAGCCCTCTGCTATTCATATTGTCAAAACTACTTCCAAATAATTGCCATTATTATTACTATACTCATGCCATCTGAGGGAGCTCTGGTGGCCTAGGGTAAGAAGCTGCGCTGTAATCCTGAAGGCATGAAGTTCAGATCTACAAGATGCTCTGAAGGAGAAAAATGGGTAGTCTTCTCCTGTGCAATTAACTGCATCAGAAAATCCTCCGGAGAGTCAGCTAAGGGTTGCTTCTGACTCAAAAACAACAATAGTGTATTACATGTGGAGAAACTGATGTTTAGAGGTAAATTGGCAAATGCTGAATTGACAGCAAAGATAAGTATAGAAATTATAAAATGTATTTAGTGTAAAATTTATAACTATAGCACATATATATCAGAAATGTAGAAATCACTCAGTACATGGAAAAACTATTTCATCTTATTCCCAACGTCTCTCTCCATGTCTGTAGAGTCTCCTTGTTTGGAATGAGTAAGGTGACGATCTATCAACAATCTGCGTTATGCAGATGACACAACCTTGCTTGCTGAAACCGAGGAGGGCCTCATGCACTTACTGCAGAGGGTCAAGGACTGCAGCCTTCAATATGGACTGAGGCTCAATGTCCAGAAGACAAAAATTCTCACCACTGGACCAATCGGTAGCATCAGGAATGATGGTGAAGAGATTGAGATTGTTCACCGCTTCAGTTTGCTTGGCTCCACAGTCAACACTCTTAGCACCAGTAGCCAGGAAATCAAAAAACGTATTGCAATGGGAAAGTCTGATGTTAGGGACCTCTCTAAAGTACTCAAGAGCAACGGTGTCTCTCTGGAGACTAAGGTGCGCCTGATACAGGCCATGGTTTTTGCAATCACTTGTTATGCATCAGAGAGTTGGACAATGACTAGGGAGGACAGAAGGAGAATTGATGCCTTTGAGCTGTGGTGCTGGAGAAGAGTATTGACTATACCATGGACTGCCAAGAAAACAAACAGATTCATCGTAGAGAGGATTAAACCAGGCTGGTCCTTGGAGGCAAGGATTCTGGGGCTTCGTCTGACATACTTTGGACATGTTGCAAGGAGAGACAGGTCTTTGGAGAGGGACATCATGCTGGGTAGAGTAGAGGGACAGCGCAGGAGGGGAAGACCCTCTATGAGGTGGATTGATTCAGTGACTGGGGCACTCAGGATGGGTGTGTCAGAGGCAATGAGATTGGCACAGGATAGAGCGTGGTTTAGGGCTGTTGTACATAGGGTCGCTATGAGTCGCAAACGACTCGACGGCACATAACAACAACAAACAACAAGGTGAAGTTCAGAACTGCATTCTGAAGGCCTTTCTTCACTTCAATCTGGTTGTTTGGCTTCACATTGACACTTTTGGAAATCAAGCATCCTGTGGTTTCTGTATCTTCTGTGAAGTAAACACCACCATCGCCCTTCTCCAGTTCTGTCTTTTCATTCTCTGATAGTTGAGAGCTTTGAGTAGCTTCTCCCTTCAATTTCTTACATTTTATGTGTTTAAAGCCATAAGATTAAAATGTACGGCTAATTTGAGGCATAGCGTTTCTTGTCAAGGGTTGCAGCTTTTACCACTGCAAGTGCAAGTAGAATTAAGTTGATGATGTGTATAATTTATTATATTTTTTTTCTAGGTAATATGCACGTGTCACTAGCTGAGGCCCTGGAGGTTCGGGGTGGACCATTGCAGGAAGAGGAAATATGGGCTGTATTAAATCAAAGTGCCGAGAGTCTCCAAGAATTATTCAGAAAAGGTAAGATGTTTGATTTATTATTGCTATTATTAGTATCCGGTAGCTAGATCCCAGGGAAGGGATCTTTTTTTTGTTGTCTTTATTTCTGCGTCTTTTGCAACATGTGGGAAGGGATGCTTTAATCATGGTTCTTGGGCCTGTAAAAGTTCAGATCTTATCTTCATTTGTTCTACCTCTATGTATCTGGAATTGTGCCCACTGTAAGAAAGATAATTGTAATTAAAATAGAAAACATCGCCTACTTCTTGGGAGCTTATAAAGTCCTGTGTAGACAATAGCTGTTAATAAAATACAAACAGTTGTGGGAAGTGCAACCGTGGTAAAGTTTACAGAAGAGGGCTTATGTAGAGCCCAAAATAGGAGGACCTGATCTGGCCACGAGAAAGAAAAGGAACATAAAAGAAATAGGCACAGATTTGGGCATATTGATAGTTCTCAAAGTGTGGTCCCTGGACCAGCAGCATCAACATTGCTTGAGAATCAGAAAGGCAAGTGCACTCTTCTTTTTAGTTGCTATCAAATATAACCATGTCACAACACATTCCTATGCACAACAGAAAAAAAAATGCTGCCTGGTCTACTCTATCCCGTGATTAATTGTAGATTGAACTTTACGAGGTACAGCGTCTTCACTGGCTGACATTTATAAGTCATTTGCCAGGTGTTTAGTCATAGTTGTAGTTTGGAAGCTAAGATCAAATTTATTCCATATCATAGCAACATACAAGCCTCTGTTGAAAAACTAGTAGTGACTGCACGTATAGTGCACTGGTGAGGAACCAAATTTAGGTCTCTGGCATGGAAGGTGAGAATTTTACCACAGAACTGCTGTACTAACCATACGGCATAAGAAATTCTGGGAATAGAGCCAGGGAATTTATGTGCTCAAAAGCCATTGAGGTTTCTGTGATAAAAATTTTGAGACTCACTGGAGGATAGAATTGCCAACATTTTGGAGTCTAGTAAACCTTTTGATGAGTACAGGAGGTAACCACAGATTGAGCGCTAAAGTACCTAGAGCACAGGGAAAAGTGTTTGGAAACATATGTTAAAAATTTCTTCTTATTCTCTGAGCAAAGAACAAGAGCTTGAATAAACCAGCCTTAGAGCCTACCTACTTCTGCTATAAACTAGATGTTTGAAGATTTTTAATTGAAGAAAAGTTCCTTATTTTATCTTTTACCACATACCTGAAATTCTATTTTGTACAAACTCCATTACTTTGTCTTGGTTTAATTTTTGAGGAAATTGCCTGTACATCAAAAGTATAGGTTCTGGAGAATGTGGAGGAGGTAGGCATTCTCCCAAGTGTTTTTCTTTTTTATTTATTTATTTATTTTTTACAGAGGTTTTGGATTTCCATTCATTCATTGCCACAATTTTCTCCCTGCCCACCCCTCCACACCAGCTCGTTTCCCCCTCCGAAGAGAGAGAGAAAAAAAAAATTCCTTCATTAGTATACAATTCCCATGTCCCTTCCCCCCACCCCTCACCCCAAGTACACTTCTCTATGCAACCTTAATTCTGTATTCCTGTGCTAACCATAATACTCAATCATATATCACTTCTAATCTGTTCTTTCCCTCATCTGTTTCAATACAATATACATAATTTATCCAGTTTTTTCTGTCGTACCCCCATCCTGATATCAGACCCATTCTACAACAGTGGCACCATGCAGTATTTGTCCCTTTGTGACTGAGATATTTCACTCAGCATAATGTCCTCCAGGGTCACCCACTTTGAATAGTATTGCATGAGTTCCTTGTTTTTCAGTGCTGTGTAGTATTCCATTGTGTGGATATACCACAGCTTCTCTATCCATTCGTTTGTTGATGGGCCCTTAGGCTGCTTCCAGCTCTTTGCTATTGTAAACAAAGCTGCGATAAACATGGGTGTGCATATATCTGCTTGGATGGCAGACATGGTCTCTCTGGGGTATATTCCCAGTAATGGGATTGCTGGGTCAAATGGTATCTCTGTTTGCAATTTTTTTGAGAAAGTGCCACACCGCCTTCCACAATGGTTGCACCATCTTACATTCCCACCAACAGTGAATAAGAGTTCCAGTTTCTCCACATCCTCGCCAGCATTTGTTGCTTGCTGTTCTGTTATATTTTGCTATTCTTACTGGGGTGAGATGATATCTCATAGTTGTTTTCCAAGTGTTTTTCCTAAGGAATGTTTTGTTGGTGGAATTTCTCAGCTCATCATCAACAATTAATAGATATTTAAGAAATATCTTTTACTTGTAAGGCATTGTGTGGAAAATTCAAATAAGTAGATGCCATTGTTGCCCTGAAGGGAGCCATTCTGATCAGAGAGATGCATGTGAAGAGTGGACCACATAGAGATAGTATGTGTCTAGTGAGTAAAACAGACAGTAAGTATAGCATAAGTCTAGAAAGCAGAGAATTCATATTTCTTATTATATCAACAGTAAGATCACTGCCCCTAGCCATGACTGATTTGGCATAAAAAACAATTTGTATCCTGCAAAGATCTAAGGATCTTTTCTTCTTTCAGATATTTTACTAATGATTAAATGTCTTAAGTGTAAAATATTTGTCAATGAAAGGCAATTACAGTGTACTTTATTGAATATTATGGTAGACTTACTAGATATCCTCTTTCTTTAGTGGGTATTTACTAGATATAGTCTCTAAACTTAACGTGGGACAGCAACACGCAAATCACCACAGTTCAACAAACTGACAGACACATAAGAAGGATGTGATACTCTCATTGAGTCTATCTTCTTGAGGGGCTTTCTTTTTTTCTCTGAACCTCCGCTTTTTCCAGCATGATGTCTTTTTCCAAGGACTGACCCAGTTGGCAACATACCCAGAGTATATGAAATGAAGAAGTTTCACCATTCTTGCCTCAGGAATGCCCCGGTTGCACATTTCTCCAAGACAGATATGTTTCTTCTTTTTGGCAGTTCATGGAACAATTCGTACTCTTCTCCAACACCACAGCTCAGAGGCACTGAGTCTTCTTCTGTCATGCATACAAAGTAATTGAAAAAGATCATGGTTTCATGGCCACCTTAGTTTTCAAATTGACTTCATTGTTGTAATGGACTAATGTTGGCCATCTTTGATTGGACAACCCAAATGGTCTACTAAGAGCACTGGTGGCTTAGGGGTAAGGAGTTGTACTGCCAACAAAAAGGAAGCAGATAAAATATACCAGTTGCTCTACAAACAAAAAATGGAAAATCTCCTCCCATGCAATTTAGTCTCTGAAAACCTGCCAGAGGGTCAGCCGTAGGTTGCTTTCAACCTAGATTGACTGTATATAACAACAGCAGCATGACCTGCTACAGTAGAAATGAGAAATTAAAGAGAAATGAAATTATATCCATACTCTAAGAGAAAATGTCAATTTAGAACAACATTCAGAATGACAGTAGTGACCAGTCTAACCTGATTTGAGAGAGACTGATAGAGCTGTTGAGATCAAGACCCTTAGCCTTTTGAATCTGGAACTGAATTTACACATGTGGCAAAGTTTGAAAACAGTTGTTGTTGTGCACCATCGAGTCAGAATAGACCCATAGTTAATCGTGTGGGGGAGACTGCCTTTCCTTCTCCCAGTCAGCAGCTAGTGGCCTCAAACCATGTGGCTTCAGGATTGCAGCATGACTTCTTACCTCCAGGCCACCAGAGCTCCAGTAGACATATTTGTAAGGCGGATAGTAATACAAAGAAGACGCTCACTCTTTAGAACAATCAACTACATAAAATCACAGCTGCAACATTTGCCCAGAGATAAAGCTCAGAAGGTAGAAAGAGAGAGATGAACAAATGAATGGAAACAAGAACCACAGAGACAAAATGTGAAGAGTGATGATACAATGTGAGGATAATAATTAATGCAATAAAACAGTGTATGAATGGTTGAATCAAAAAGCCATTCTGCTCCATAAATTTTCAAATCACAATGGAAAATTTAAAAGAGGACATTTTACCATTCATCCTGAAGTACAAAGTTTATATGTTAATACAGTTATTCATTTTACTCAAATTCATATACCAGTCTCTAGTGCCTAAGGTGAGGATGAAAGTGATGATTTTAATTATTGTCTAAAACTGATGAAACATGCAGTTGTCATGCATTAATGTTTACTAGTGATTGGAATGCAGATGACACAACCTTGCTTGTTGAAAGTACAGAGGTCTTGAAGCCCTTGTTGCAGAAGATCAGATAACAGCCTTCAATATGGATTACACATCTCAACATCAAGGAAACAGAAATCCTTACCACTAGGTCAAAAATCTTTACCACGGGGACAACATTGAGGTAGATGGAGAAAGAATTGAAACTGTCCAGGATTTTCTCTTCAAGCGAGCAGTCAAGAAATCAAAAGACATGTCACATTGGGAAAATCTTCTGTCAAGGATCTTGCCAAAGTCAGTTTAGTGACTAAGGTGTACCTGATTGCATCCAGGGCCTTTTCACTTATTTGCTATGTATCTGAAAATTAGAGAATGAGTAAGGATGGTAGAAGAAGAAATGATGTAGTGTTTGAGAAGAGTACTGAATATCCCATGGGCTTTCAAAAGAACATCTTGAAAAAATGCAGCCAGGTAGCCTCTTGGAGGTGAGCATAATGAAGCTTCATCTCATGTGCTTTGGGCATATTGTTAGGAGGGGCTTGGGAAAAGACATCATGTTTGTAAAAGTGAAGGATCAGAAAATAGAGACCCTAAATGAGATATATTGACACAGTCCCTAACAGTAAACTCAAGTATATTAGTGATGATGGGAGTGGCAGGGTACACTTCAGCTATGCACAGTATAGCTATGGATCATAGTCAGTTCGATGGCATGTAAAAATAACAGCAGCAACAGTGATTAGAATGCAAAAGTTGAAAACTAAGAAGGCTTGAAAGTTGGAAAAATGTCTTTGGTGATAAAAGTGATGTGGAAGATTGCATAGTAGAATTTTTCAACACCAGAGTAATATTCATTGCAAATACCTTTTTAAAAAGTGT